AACCAAATAAACAATTATCAACACGGCACTTTGACAGCGCGGTGCGAGCAAATTAAAGCAAAGAGGGATTACAAAATAACGGAATCTAGTCAAGAATTATATTCCCTTCACCCTATATTCAGATATAAAAAAGATGCGTTTGGAAAATTCGAATTTTTCCTGTATTATTTTTCCATCATCAGAAATAGCGAGCACCGTTTTTCGACACCGTTGCCCCTCTTAGCTATGCCACTGTACTTACTGTACTTATCTATATATGTCTTCGATTAAATACAAAATGTTCATAGATAAGAATTTGTTACTAACTCAAACCATATTTCTCCAAATCTTCATTTCAGATGTCCGGAAGGATTCATGGGCGAACGCTGCGACCGCAAGGAAGTCAATAATATATCTCCCAGTACGTACAGTAATGAACAAGAATGTGGCGAGAAGAAATTTTATGGAAGTTATTATTGCTAAAATAGGCTTTTCTATAGCATCGAAATTGGTTTAAATTGATGGCAATGCACTTAAACATTTTGTTCGATAAAATTAAATTAATATTTTTTTATGAGCCGAAAATATAAAGCTAAGCTAAGCTGTTAAAAAACTACTTGCAAACATAACGATGCAAAGATAAAAAAAAAATGTGGCTTAGTTTTTCTGGCGTTTTGAGACGCAAGCGAATATACATAAATACAAACATGCATGCCTACATATCTACATACATATGTACGAAGTGTCATTCGAATCGAATGTTTTCAAGTTAACTCCGAAATATACCAAAAACAAACTTTATACTCATTAGCTTCCACACTGATGCACATACATACATACAAAAACACACACGCATGCAGAAACAAGAGCACGCACAAACACGAGCACACACGTACCCATTCACTAATACACTAACACTTTTACTCAAATGCAATAAACCAAAAATTAGTTATAAACAAACCATAAATGTTGCTAAAACAAACATAGTAAATGCATTAAAAAATATTTATTTATGTATTATGTTGTTAAATATAACTGCAACTGCAACTTTATATAAAGAAATCTTTCGATAGTTCTCTCAACAAAACCAAAAAACTTACAGAAAATAATACAAAACTAAACTATTTAAATGTACATAAGTGCCGGACAAAAGTATTGGCACAGAGAATTTTTCGCAATATTTTTTAATAAAAATACAGTGCGATCTTCACCAAAAAAAATAAAGCAAAATCTTTCAACTTTGTTCAAAACTCGGGAAAATGCAATGAATTTGCATACTAATTTGCAACTTTCTATTTTCAATTTTAGTATAACAAAGTGCAAGTTTGAGGTATCTAAAAACCGCGTTGATTTTTGGCATTTTTTTAGTTGAAGGTGTTGCCCATTTTCTCTATACAAAAAATAATTGTCGAGCACACTTTGTATGGAAGAACCTGAGCGAAAATAAAATTGTCAAAAATCAAGGCGATTTTTCACCAACTATAAGCTTGCAATTTTTTTGCTAAAATTAGATGGGCAATAAAACTGCATACCTAGAATTCTTTTAAAAATAAGAATAGAAAGTTGCAAATTAGTACGCAAATTTACTGAATTTATCTGAGTTTTGCACAAAGTTTTTTTTTTTTTTTTGTAGGACGAACTACATTTTTATAAAAAATTATTGAAAATAAATTAGAATAAAAAACTTTGCAGATGTTGCTAAAAGTGCTCTGTGCCAATACTTTTGTCCGGTACTATACATATGTACATACATATGTATGTACGATGATATCGCTCATTCTCTAAAATACTGGCAAAACTCAATAGCTCAAAAAGTTCCAAATTTTAATGGCACATTAGACCGTACCATCTCGCAAGCAAAACAAAAGGTCGCCGCCCAGTACTGAGTCCTAAAGTATTTTGCCAGACAATTTCGAACGATTTTATTTTTTCCCCCCGAACCTAGTAACTGCCTTTTTACATTTTTCAGTGGCACCTATATTCGACAGTAAAAAAAGTTCAACTTGAATAATCAAAAGTTTCATAATTTTTGAAGAGCTCTAATTGACTGGTATTCGGGTGGTATGTTAGGATAATAAGGACTGGGATCTGGCGGGTTAGTACCAGAACGGGCTACTACTTGTTCCTAACTTTGGAACAAAAAAATTTTTCGCTCGAGACAAAAACATCGATATACATACATATCTTACTTTAAGGTCCGACTGTAAATGCCGAAGATATGACTAAAAACAAATAATTTTTAGCAAAAAAAACCGACTTAAAAAAAATATAAAAATATCTATATATTTCATGATGCAATGATCGGATCCAAATTAGTATGGGACCAACTCTGAGATACTACTTTTCCGTTGCAAAAAGAATCATCGAAATCGGTTGACGTGGACCAAAGTTATCCGGTAACATACATAAAAAAAAATATTCCGACGAGCTGATAACCTCCTCCTTTTTTAGAAGTCGGTTAATTAAAAAAGGTGACGCCTACGTTAGGCCAAAAACTCTAAATTGCCATCGAATCGAAATATGTACTTCTTGGTAAAAGTTCAATGATTTTCTCCGAGCTTTAATTTACTGGCATTAGGGTGGTACATTAGGTAGAAACTTAGATTTGGTGGTTAAGAACTAGATCTGGTGATAAGAACGGGGTAGCTGATGTCAATGAACTTTGGGAAAATTGTCCCCCCGAGACAAAAACATGGATATTATTGTACTTTAAAATGCTGAAGATATGTATGACGAACAATTTAAAAAAATATATAAAAAGTTCCGAATTGCCTTGCAAAAATATTTCAGACTCAGAACTTTTTTCTGGTACGGTCTAACGCACATTCTATTCTCACGTCGAAACTACACAAGATTTGGGCTTGCAATTTTAACAAAATATAAAACATGATAAAAGGAGTTAATTATTCCTGCATCATTAGCTCGTAACTGTAATTTTTTTAGTTCTGACAGTCATTTAGTACATGAGCAATAGATATGCACTGACAGTAGGACACCTCGAAGCACATTTGGGGTGATTTTTTTTTGCATCTTGTCCACCACAGCAAATCTACTTAAATATATACAAGCATACAAACATACAAATATTCACAAGAACGACTAAATTTCGATAATAACTGTAAAACACATTCCAATGACTAATACTCTTTAATTAATTCTAAAAAAACAAGCTCTTTAAAATGCTCCAATTTAAATTTTACAGATTAATGGCCTTATTCATAAAATATAAAATGGGTTTAAAGAGTTCTATAAAGTGACATTTTCATACAATTTTTTGATTTATAAAGCAGTTAAAGTCGTCTTTATTTTTTATGAATTTGGGTGTTAAATTTTAACTACTCATAAAATGCAAAATGCGAGCGAAAACAAAAATAGAAAATCAAATAAGTAAAAATAATGTATAGAAAAAAGTGAGCAAGTGAAAAAGCTACTTTTCATATATAGAGATAGACACAATGATACGGTCGCCTACATATTGAAAAGTTTTAAATTAATATTTTTTTTCAAATTATTTAATTATAATAACTATTTTTTCTTAAATATAGTTCATTCCATAAAAAACACCATCTAAATCCAAGATTGTAGCACTTTGCAAAGTTTTAAAAAAACTCATAAATTTTTCATCAAAATTTTCCGCTTTTTATTTAGAATCTAAAACTTTTACGACAGGTCTAGTATAACAAAGCGCCGTTGGGTTTGACAAAATTTTTTTGTTGACAGTGTTGCGCATTTTCTTCTTAAAGCGAACATTCGCTATATGAAAAAAAATGCTCAACACCGTCACAAAAAAAACTTTTGTTTTTTATGTCAACGATAATTTGTAAGCATTTGAGTGCGCTATGAGACTGCAATTTTTTTAAAATTTCTGAAAAAAAAATTTGATATTTTGGTGAATTTCTTAAAATTTTGCACAAAGTTTGAAACTTGAATTTAGTTGGTTTTCGTTATGGAATGAACTATTAACTTAAAAAAAAACTAAAAATAAATAATTATCAATATGTGTGTGACCTTCTCATTATGCCTATCACTATATGAAATATGTACTACTAAAAAACAATCTTTTATTAAAAAAATCATATCGGTTTTTTGATAAGTTAAACAAAGGTGCTATAGAAGGTTTATTTTATTTAATAATATTTTTCCAATGTTGTATTCTTATTCTGTTCCTCTTACTTCTACTGCTCTTTTGTTGTTTTGTTTAGTTTTCTTATTACCATTAATATTACCACTTAATATTATTTTATTGTTTTCATATTATTTATTAACTTTAGTTTATTTATTTACAAACAAAAAACAAAGAACACTCAAAAAATTCAGCATTAATTCTAAGGAAATTTAGAAGAAAATGCATTCAAAATATTCAAAATGAAAAAAAAACTAATAAAAAGTCTTAAAAAATAATTTTAACAAATACTGCGATCAAACATGAAATTACGAAAGTAATAGAATACATACATATACCTAAATACTTACTACTTATGATAAATGTAGAATTTCAGAAAATATAAGAGGCTCTCTTGCTCGCGCATATACCTACATACTACTACATGGATGCATACACACATTCATACATATTGTGTTCACACGTGTATGCAAATGTACATCGGTATATATATATATATATATATATAAATGTTTGTGTGTATGCATGCATGTATGTGCATACGCCCACATAATCTCATCAAATCTCTTAGGCATATGCACTATTTATTTCAAGTCAATCAAACTCACACGGATACACACAAACTATTTACTTAGCTTAGGTACATGCCGTCAAAAATATTCATAATTCATATAGACAATACCTACATATGTGCATACATAGGTACATAGCAGAAAAAAAAATTTAAATGTGAAAGTGATGAGAACTTGACATAAATGCAACTATTTATTTTAGTACTCAAATAACCTCGCCCTAAATTCATATAACGGCACTTATTGCTGAAAAAAAGATACAGAATTTTTCCATTCACCAAAACTTATTTACAAAACGTGAATTTATAGTCTTATCTCAGCCTAACTGACTAAATCTCACAACCCAAACGTTCATTACGAAAGTGATTAATTCAATTGAAATTATTTCTTTTTCTTACTAAATCAGTTTTCATTTAAATGTACTTGTCAAAAAAAACGTGTCTTTTTGTACAAGTTTGTACAAGTTTTGACACCATAATCTATACCCTTATAAAATTCTTTTGATATATATACATATCGTCACCTTAATTGACAAAGGCAGGAGAAGCAAAAAACATTATAAAAATCAAATCATACATATGGATAGAGCATTTTAAAAAGTGGCATAACTCCGTTGTTTTTGGTATTAATACTTTTAAAATTTTATTGGAGATGTATTGTAATACATATATTCTTCCAAAATCTGTGAAAAACACAGTTTCGAAGAAAAAAGTGTTGGTTAGGGCCTTTGTGAATTAAGGTAACGATGTGTACTTAGGACTGTGTAAGTGTAACATAGAACTTAGGGCATGCTTCTATAGTTGACAGCATGTTTCTTTATTTTTCCAATAAAAATTAGCAGACGAACTAATATTAGAATTTTTCTAGAAATTGTGCGCGGAAGTTCCACATAAAGGGAAGTAAGAACTTTTTCCAAAGAAATGAACAAAACGTTGCTACATCGTAAAGCTTTTTTTGCACTTTTGCTAGCATAAACTGGTGAAATGCTAAACGGCTAATTGCTGTTTTGTCGACTGCCAGTTAATTTTCCTAGCTTACTACATTGCACAGTGTTTCAAAACTGAAATATACTGTTCATAATTCACTAGAGCCTTCGTACTCCAATATATTTTATTAATTTCTTTTTAAGAAAAATTTATAAAATTTGGAAGAGACCAGTTTATCCCGATTTTTGAATTTTTATTTGATTATATTAAATTTTAGNCGAAAATTTATAAAATTTGCATGAAACCAGTTTATCCCGATTTTTGAATTTTTATTTGATTATATTAAATTTTAGTTTAGAGTTTTTAGAAAAAAAAAATGGTATGCAGTTTTATAGATCATTAAATTTTAGTACAATCGTTTCAATTTATCAAAATGGTTGAAAAATTAAGGCTCCATTGAATTGTGAACAGTAAATTCCAGTTTTGGACAACTGTGCATCGGCGGCACGTTAATTTCGCAAAATATGCATGCATAAAACTCTCAAGTACCAAAGTAACGAGATATCTAGGATTTTGTTTACGTAAACTTTTTCTGCTTTTTCTTGCGCTGCCAAGAACCTTAACCCTTTGGTTGATAGATATGTCGGAAATCGACAATTTTTCATTGCAGTGTGCAGTGTGCATAATCATCTATTAAAACGGGCGAAAGGGTCGATGCTATGTATATTGCCTGGCTATATGAACAGCTGGCTGGTCAGTTTGTACGATCGTTTGTGTTTATGTAGAGAAATTCTTACCTTTATCGCCAGTGGGACGTTCAGCAGAATGCCGGCCAGCTTGTCAGCTTTTGCGTTAGCTTCAACTCCTTTGTGTTGTGGGACACAATGGATTTGGCAACGGCGCATCTTCCTATTGGCTTCTTACCATCTACAACAGTCTTTGAGTAGGGAATACCTAACTGTCAATATGAATGCTTATCCGCCCACTCGGCGGATTTATTTCTTGCAGTTTTTCTTCCGCGCTCGTAATTTCCAAAATTTAAAGGACCACCAAACCTAAAATAGTACACCTCAGCTCCAAAATCTTAGACGAACCGCGAACCTCTGTTCCAACTCCAAGAGAGCCAATATTTAAAGGACCACCAAACCTAAAATAGTATACCTCAGCTCCAAAATCGAATCACGAGGATCATTCATAACTGGGATTAATAAACGGCGCTAAAATGGTATCACCCGAAACGTGAAGAGTTCAGAAGCTTGTTCCTGAATCATCGACCATAGTCTTGAACTAGATCAAAAAGTTGTGAAGCCAATTTTTCCGGAGCTAATAATTTTTCTGGCTTAGCCTTATGCATCCCTTAGCTGTATACTGTCTACATCTTATACATATATTTATTAAGGTTTTTGAGAGTTTTTAAACTTTTTTTTCGAAGATAACTGTTTGGCATACATCGCCAAAGTTCTCTCAATTACAGACTCAAACTCAAATTAGAATACAGAAAAGCACAAATTAAAAAGAAGTTAGCAGATACTGGGTTGGAAATGAAGGATAAAGATTGAATTTCGGTGCGTTACAAACATCCTGGGTGATCAGAGACATGCGTAATCAGTACGGTAATTATCAATGTCCTTGCAATTTCGGACTGTTGAATATGTTTTCGAGTGAAGACCGACTTTCCAGAACTTTTTCCGATTTTCACAAAGGTCCAAATGTACATATATTGCTTAAACGCTTACAATTCAGGTAGGATTTCATTAGATTTGGCAACGCTGATGGGAGGCAGCAATCGAAAATTAATTAAATTAGAATTTCAGTAGGGGTCGTCACGTCACGCCCATTTTGATAGTTTAGGTAAACAGATAATTTGTACTCGGTCAATTTATCAACTGTGAACGTCCTTTGCAGCTTACTTTTGTTAATCTGGTAACCTTATGCCGAACTTCTACCAGGCATTGAAATGACAAATAATGTAGGTCTTTTCAAAAATTCCACGTGGAAACAGACGTGAACGTAATGCCACTGGCATTTTTTTGCCCAGTATTGTCATAACAAATTTTTGTCATTTAATGCCTAATAGAAATTCAGCATAAGTTTATCAGCAGCTGATTCCCAGTTATTTTCTATAAAAAAAAATGACTTGTAACAGAAAATTTAATTAATTTTACTTACTCATATGCATCATGCCTTTCGGTAGCGGGCGGATTTAAAATTAAATAAATATCGAACAGCTGATTGCAGTTTATCAGCAAGATGAAACTGACAGGGCTCCCGAGAGGTAACCCTTGCGTCGACGCTACCAACTAACGTTTGAGAACTCTCAAATTTTGATGTCACTTATTCCAACAGTAATGGCATTTCTATAAGCGGTAATAAAGAACAGCTGGTTTTTGTTTACATACGGTACCAATTTGTTCCTTTGAACTTCGGATTAAAACCTGTGGAACTGTTAAACTACAATTTTACTCTCTCAAGTGAGAGTAAAAGGAGAACAGATTCAGAAGCGGACGAGAACGTAAAAAGCACTTTTTCCTGTAAAAACGTCAGTCGGTTTGTTTACATTTCATTGGTACAACACTGATTTGACTGAAATATCACTAAATAATTTCAAAAATCTATACATAAGCAAATATTTGGTTGTTTGCTGCCATTTTTTAACAAATATAAGATTCCTTGCTTTCATCGCGTTCTGTTTTTGTTTACAAATGCAACCATGTCCAACGTTTGAGACTTTTAATGAACTTACAGGAAAAAACTCCGGACTAAATCCTGTAACTTCTGACTAGGAAGAGTTGCTCAGTTACTCTCTCAAAAGTGTTCCCACTTGCAGTTTTTATGTCTAAACGACTTTCCCGTAAGTTCTGACTAAATCTGTAAACCGGAGTGCTATTCTGCTATTGGAACAGACTAATTTATTGTGATGTCTCTCTGCGTTACGTACGCCACTGCCTTGGGATACTTTTCCGGCATTGACGTACAAGTACCCATTCTGACAGCGCTTATAGACTTTTTAATTGTTTTTATTTTTTTTTTGCAGCTAAAATGAGTGTTAAACAGTGTTCACTGAAATTGTGCTTTCTTAAGCGTAACGCAATTTTGATTTTAAAACTCAGAATTTCCCAATTCTTTTATGTATATGAAATATTTTTTATAAAACATTTTTTTTTTATTCTTTTCCTATATATTTTGTTATTTATTGCAAGCATTTATTGAATATTTGCGTTTTATAAGTTTTTTGTTTATTGTTTTATAAAAAAAATAACATTTTGGCTGTAGTTGCACTACTTTTTATTGTTTGTGGTTTGGTATTTGGGTAGTGGCAGCTTATTTCAATATTATTTAGAATTTGTCTGATTTAATTTCTAATTTAACACTTCATTTCTCATTTTCAATACCGCGGAACGGGTAGCATCATTCCACCGTGCGTTTAGTTATACTATACTAGTAGTCATACTCACCTTAGTTGCTTACATACATACATACATAGTTTGTTTAGTTTTAATGTCTCCGTTTTAAATATTATACAAGTAATTTTACTTAAATTTCATTTGCCACATACACACACAGCAATTCAGATAAATAATTTATTTTTTATGATTTAATTTTTTCACAGATTTTTTGTTGCAATCTACGGCCAAATACCTACCACTATTAATTGTTTGATTTCTGTTACTTTTTTGTTCTTTTTTTAAGTTTGTTAAGATTAATGATTTGTTAGTGATTTCTTAAAAAAAAAATTTGTTTATAATATTTTTTGTTTGTTAATAAAATGGCTGACGAAAACGAAAAAATGCACAGTTGAAAAATGTAGTATTGTAAACCTGAAAGTTGAACTGAGGAAAGGACGTTTTGTGACAAGCTGGTAACCTGCACACATACATGTGGACATTAAGAAAAAATCGCTAAATATGAACAGTGGGTTGAGTAGTCAGTTATGCTGCTGAGAGTTTTTAAAAGTAGGTAGTTGTTTTTTACTATTCTGTTAAATCAAGTCAATGCCGCTTATGAACCTAATAGATTTGTAAATATATTTACTGTTTATAAGATTTCCGACAATACAGCGAGCTCAAAATACTTAATGAACCAAAATCACTACGAAATAAAACGATGTTCGCGAGCAAAATTAAGAAGAAAAACTATTTTAAATTATGTTAATTGATATTTTTTTAATTATCGCTGAAAAAATGACTTTCGCGCATATCGGTTTTGCACTTGGCAACCCGCCGACTTAGACAACAGTATTTAATCTAAATGATTTCTAAACTAAAAGTTTCCTTCTTACTTTAATTAAATAAATTTATGTACGTTTTATATAATTTTTTAATTTTTTATTTTATTATTGAGTTTAATTTAAAAAATTTAGTTTCTAATTTTTTTTTTTAACGCGTAGAAGTAACGATTTTTAATTGTAATTAAATTGTAAATATTGTTTTACTGTACTGTAGTTTAAGAAAAAATCGACTCACATCACGAATATATAAAAAAATAAAAAATAAATATTTAGTAATTGTCAAATACTACATTTATTTACAAAGAAAAACCTTAATGCTGCAAGTATAGAGAATATGTCATAAAACATTTTTCTAACAAAAACCAACTATGAAAATTGTTTACGCTTCGCGGTGTTCTCGAGCATTTGACTTAGTCAATATTTAACTAAAAGTTCAATTATATTATTAAAAATAACAAATTTTTTTCAACGCTTGTACAATTCGCGGAGTGACTGTAAAAATATCACACGTTTTATGACACTTTCCAACACTTGGCGTGCATTAAGGTTATGACGAATATAAAAAATTAGAACGCATACAAATTTTCATTTGAGCTTAACGACTTTTGGTGTCCACTTTTTCAAAAAGGAGTAAATAAATCTTAAACAAATTGTTACATATTTACGTAATTGTAATATGTATTCACATTGTGTGAGCACAATTTGTTCACAATCGAATTAAAGTGGGTCCACATAAGTGCGTAAAGCAAGAATTATTTTTCAAAAGAAAATAAAACGTATACCAAATATTGTAATTTTGTAATTAATTTATTGTATTTAGCATAAAAACAAATAAGTCGTAATAAAATTTGTAAAATATTAATATTTAGCGCAAAAAAAAAAANATAATTTTGTAATTAATTTATTGTATTTAGCATAAAAACAAAAAAGTCGTAATAAAATTTGTAAAATAATAATATTTAGCGCAAAAAAAAAAATTATTAACATAATAACTTAAATTAAAACTAAATAATTTTATTTCAAAATCAAAACAAAAAACTAAAAGCAACACTACATAAGGCACATTACAATAACTCCAAGAAACAATCACGAAAATGCCCTTGTTTATGTCCAAGCATAATAATATAAATACTTTGCATATATATTTTTTTGTAAATTATAATGGTTTTAATATTCATGCTAAAATTTTTTAAGTATAACTAAATAGTTGTAATTAGCTTAGGAAACTAAAACTACATATACTTATTTAAAATTAAAGAAAAACGGCAGTTTATAATATTGCTTATAATGACTTTAAAATTGAGAATAATTTTTATTTCTATTTTATTGTTTAAGTGATTTTAGTTTTTAATTTTAACAGTCAAAAGGTATAAATAAACTACGATTGAAAAAAAAATAATATAATAAAAATATATCGAAATTCGAAACATTAAATTGAAAAAGTTTTTTATTTATTTCTGTTTTTTTATTATCTGAAAAAAACATTAAATGTTTGAACTCTGCACACTGTTACATTGCCAATTTGACAAAAGATATTTGAGGTAAGCATTTTGTTTTAATTTTTTGTTTGTTTGTATGTGCATTATGTTATGTATTGTATTGTTTTCGTGTTTGTTGTGGTTATGTTCCTAATTTTGTGTTGTTGTATTGTCCTTTTGCGAAAACTCTGTAAATGTTTTATAACAAATGTAACACATTTTTGCGCTAATCATATTTGTCTTATTTTACTTAATTTTGTGCTAAAACTAAACCAAATTTTATTACTTACATATACGTACATATTCTGTGTTGTGAGACGATCCTTCGAGTAAAATATTGTTGTAATATTTGTGTATTCATAAATGAATCTAAATCTTACACTATACGGCTAAATCAAAATCTTAAAAAAATCAAACAATTACATATATATATAAATGAAGTCAGCTAATTTTTTAATATGAACTCACAACTCAAATTTATGCAAATAAAAAATGCTGGTACTTCATATTGTAAACAGACTTAATAGAATTTAAGTAAATTAATATTTATAAATAAGTTAATACTCATATATTTTTAGCCTTTAAGCCGCTTAAACCGAACTATTCGTTTGAATCATAGTAATTCGGTAGAACAAACTAAGGACAGTACACACAAATGAATGCGTCTATTAATAATAATAACCACACTTACACAAATGCAAATAAAAAAAACCACACACTGTAGAGCAACTCAATACAAATTATTTAGTTGAAAGCACAGTATTTAGAAGAACTTTTAGTAGCACCTAAATTGTGTAAAGTTTGGTTTACGAAAACCTGACCATTTTCTTCATGGTGTGACCACCATGTTATATTGCAAGGCCAGTCGTACCGATTAAAAAAGCGTATCGAGCTCCGCTTGTTGTCAAATCGCCACCATCTTGAAAACAGGGCCTCAACCCAGCTATACCCAGACTTTAGTATACACATGGAGTAGTCAAATTCCAAAAGGATTTTAATTTCATTTTTGGTCAAAAATCTAATTTTAATACACGTCATTTTATGTATAAAGTAACTTCAAATATGTATATGTATATAATATACATAGTAAGATTTAACGGACAATTTGTCCGCCTTTAATACGGGAATGAAACATCTTCACGCAGATATGAAAAATGGCTAAATTGCTCCACAAAATTATTAAGCATAACATTTTTCTTAGGGGTCCCCGAAAACGAAAATCTTCTGCGTATTAAATTTTCTTTTTAAAATTGAAACAAAATTAACAAAAGTATCATTTTAAGCGTCTTCAAAAAGAGGGAAGGTTATCAGTTTGTCGTAATAAGTATTTTTTTTTTGTTTTATGTATGTTACCGCATGACTTTGGACCCCTTGACCCGAATTCCATAACTCTTATTTTAAAAGAAAGGTGCTATCACAGAGGTGGTCCCTACTACTACTTTAGTTTGATCCGGTCATTGGATCTTGAATAAATTAATATACTCTTAAATGTGTAAATGAGAATTGAAGTCAGTTTTGTTTTTTGCTTAAAAATTACTTGTTCTGTACATATATTATTGGTATATTCGAGGAGCAAATTCACCTTAACGGTCTGAGTCGTTAATGTATTTTACGCATAACATCGGTTCTTCACGGTAAACCACAAACGTCTAACGGCGTCATATCGCGGCTCCGAGGTGACCACTTAGCATCGCCGAGACATCTGATGACACGATTACCGAACCTAGCGCGCAAAAGATTGATTATGGCATGGTCTGTGTGGCATAGCGCACCATCCTGCAGAAGCCAAAATCATCCAAGTGCATGTCTTCAATTTCCGGCCACTAAAAATCGTTCACCATGCCTCTGTAGCGCTCACCGTTGACCTAAAATACTTTTCCAGCAGCATTTTCAAAGAAAAATGGGCCGATGAGGCCAAATTCCCGCCAAACTGTCTCTCTCTGAGGATGCTGGTTTCTCGACGATTACGTACGAGTTTTCCTATCCCCATTGGCGGCAGTTTTGTTTGTTAACATAGCCGTCGAGATGAAAATGCGCTTCGTCAGAAAAGATGATTTTTACAATATTTTACAAAACATTTGATCGGTTCACAACGGTGTCGCAAGTGTCGTTTTGTTGTCTGTCGTAAAGCTTAACTAAATGTTTAGAGAACTTGAAACCAACTATTTTTTACCACTATTTTTTAACACTGCGAAAATTCATAATATGACATTGATTGTACTTTGCGAACACCCTTAATATATTTTTTAGGCGTTTAAAGTTTACGACATACAACAATACCACACTTACGACACCGTTGTGAATACCCCAATTGCCTTTGGAGACACAGTGAAAGAAGTTTTAAAATCAGTTGCACGTTGCACAACTTTTTTAAAAAGTTAGTTAGGTTAAAGTTAGTTTTCTTGGAGAAAAATAGTTTTATTTTTTCAAAAAACATTATGTTAAGGGCGATCCATACAATTTTTTTAATCATATATTTTTTGACAGTGACAGCTCTTCTCCGCAAATCATAACTTTAATCTTAGTCCTAATCTTAATCGTAATCTGCATAAATCCTAACTTTATCTTAATCTTATTTTTAATATTAATTTTAGTCTTAATCTTAATCAGAATCCTAATCTTAATCTTAGCCTTGACCTTAATGTTAATTTTAATTGCAATCTTTTTATTAATCTTGATCTTAATATGAATCTGAATCTTAAACTTAATATTAATCATTACCTGAATTTTAATCTAAATCTTGATTTTTATCTTAATCCTAATCTTGATCTCAATATTAATAACAATCTTAATCTTAATCTTTTCCGAATCCTAATCCCAGTCTTGAACTTTGTCTTAATCTGATCTTAATTTTAATCTAAATTTTTATCTTAATCGTAATCATAATCTTAATCTTAATCTTAATCTTAATCTTTGCTTTGATCTTAATCTCAAAATGAATCTAATCATAATCTGAATTTTAATCTTAACCTTAATCATAATCTTAACCTTAGCCATAATTTTAAACTTAATTTAAATCTTAATCTTAGTTTAAATCTTAATCATAGTTTTAACCTTAATTTTAATTTTGATCTAAATATTGCCCTGAAGCATAGTCTTAATCTTAAACTTAATCTTAATCATAATCTAACTTTTAATCTTGATCTTAATCATAATCTCAATTTAACCTTAATCTTATCTTAATGCTAATCTCAATGTTAGTCTTAGTCTTAATCTTGAACTTAATTATGATCTAAATCATAATCCTACCCTTAGTCTTAATCTTTGTCTTGATCCCATTCTTAAACTTAATCTAATCATAATTGGAATTTTAATCTTAATCTTAATCATAATATTAATCTTAATCTTAATTTTTAACTTAATTTAAATCTTAAATAATCTTAATCTTAATTATAATTTTAATCTTAATTTTAATCTTCTCTTCTTGATCGTCTTAATCTTAAACTTAATCTTAATCATAATCTGAATTTTAGTCTTAATCTTAATGGTGTCCAACCACCCTCGCCATCCCCTCTCTTCTTCTTTTCCGTTTCATGGGAGTTTGGATTT